CCAGGCCAGGTGCTGCTAATTACAGTATAAATTCAAGTTACTGTTTATCACTTTGGGAGCCCAGACCTGGCCATTGCGCCCTCATCTTGAGGCCCAGTTTTCTTGTTCAGATGCACCTGCAGCCACAGTTCTGATGTCTTTACTTTTTGTGCTGACTTCCTTAAGGGCTCAGGCCCTTTCTGGCTGTGTATTAATTTCTCTTTTTCCCCACTGAGTATCATATTGCCATATGTTTTTCCACTTTTTATTTTAATTGTACATATTTGCAGTTAATATAGTTTAAGTTATCTTGGAGAATGGTTGTGTGTATATAGTATTGCATGTTTCTGTTTTTAAAAACCCCTGTCCTTTTTCCTCTCCCTGCCCTGTATATTAACTTTTATCTAACTTAGCTGTCCATGATACTCTCAGCAGTGTACACATTCTTAGCTGTGTATGCATAGTACAGATTGCTACTTCCTCTGTTGTCTGTCCTTATGTCATTATTCTGTATTTTGGTTGCTAACTGTGACCCACCGTGACTGTTAAAAAATATGTCGGTGACTATTCACGGCCTATGAAAAGTAATGAAAGATTGCTGTCTCTGGCTGTTACCACACAGATTTTACAAGGACTGCAGGTATGTTGAGCAAGTGGCTAGGGAAACTCAGGTAAGCATCAGTAGATAAAAGTTTCATAAACATTTTTGTAGCCTGAGACAGTGAACCAACAATAATGTGAAGCATAGCTGGAAAAAATGTTGACTAGCAGCAGAATGTGACTTTATTAGAAATGAAGATGGAAATCCAGGTGCCAGGGTTGACACTGGAAATACTCCCCTCCAGGGACCACTCTTACTGAGCTGGTTTGCTTAGCATCCCTATCATCAGAAAAAACAACAATTTCCTATACTGAATGCTTTTGCATAGCTGTGGTAGGTGCTTCCAAGAATTGTTAGCCCCTAGATAGTATAAAAACCTCCAGGGGGTTTTAATACTTCTTCCTAGGATAGTGATAGGAAAGGCTTTTCTATTCACCCTTGCTTTTCCTAGCTTCCCTTACCACCTCAGAGGAGCCTGTTGACATGGAGAATATAGTTGCTTTAAAAACTTCCAAGTCAGACATGCCTGTAATGCCAGCACTCAGGAAGCCAAAGTAGGAGGATCGTTGCGAGTTCAAGACCAGCCTGGGCTACAAAGCGAGTTCGAGGCCAGCCTGAACTTAACTGCGTAGTGAAACCCTGTTTTAAAAAGACCAAAAGAAAGAGAGAGAGAGAGAGAGAGAATTATTAAAGCATGCTAAGTATAAAAAGAAAGAAAAGGAAAGTTTCTTAGGATGGGTTTTTGCAACCCTGCAATATTATTTTGCATTCAAACAACTCTATTTAGGCCAAGAATCAGGCCATGATAAGGAGTCCAGCTAGAGTGCAGTGAGGAGTCTGGTCGCAAAATCCTGACAGATTCTCTCCGGCATCTCAGGTCACATACATTGCCCCAGCTGTTGACAAAAGAGAATGTCATTTCTGTGCTTAATTCTACCCAACCGTGATCCATCTGACTTCTGTTTAAAAGAGGGAATGAGTGTTGCGGAGGTTGCTGGAAATGTCTGCTGAGCCACACCTAAACTCCAGGGGGTGGAAATGGAGATCAGCTGTGTCTTCCAGTGCTAACTTTTCTCCCTGAATTACATTCTAGCTATTTATATCATTGTACTGATGTTTTGTTTGTTTTGTTTTTAAATCATGAGCTCAAGAAGAAGCTTAAAATGTACGGGTCTTGCCCAGAATTATAGGGCTTCAGTGAGTCATGTCCTTTCCCTGTGCTGGCTTTGAATTGCTTTACTGTGGAACATTTTTATGAGTTGCAATTTACAAGGTCCATGTTTTTTCCACTTTAATTCATAAGTAAGAGGATAATGATTCTCTGAATTATAGCACACTTACCTAAAAGGAAGTAGAGTGTATCTACATGAGAAACATATCGAGGACTTTAATGATGCATCAGGTTCTGTCAAAAGTTGTAAAGGCCCATGCTATTTCCAGATTTGGAAAATTTTTTGATCCAAGTGAATGCAGTAGTGTGTCCTGCAGACATTAAAATGACTTTTTGTTTTGTTTTGTTTTCCTGAATGAAACCAGCCCTCAAAGGTAATAGATTCCCACTGCTTCTCAATGCATGCTAAAGCAGACAGCAGCTTATCAACTTTCTGAATGGCCAGTGGCTCCTTTACATGCATCTCTCTCCAGGACACAAAACCCCCTCAAACGGCAAGCCCTCTCTGGCATCCATTCCAGCGTTGTTCAGACTTGAACTTCTAATCTTTCCTTGTAGCTCTTATGAGTCGTTTTCTTTTGGTTTGAGACAAGGTTTCGCCATGCAGTTCAGGCCGGTCTTCAATTCACTGTCACCTTCCTGCCTCGGCCTCTAACGTGCTAGAATTACACTGTGTGTGCCACTGCCCAGCTTCCTCTTATGAATCATTGTTAGTTCTTAGAAAAGATGCCCTAAAATGGCTTTGAAACACCCTTGGCAGATTTACTACACCTGTACATTTATAGAAATATATTTTAGTGAGCATAGTGGCATTCATAAGATAGTACAAAATTAGCTGAACCCTTCAGATGCCTTGTTAATTAAAATTAAGTATCCCTGGAATTTTACAGCATGTGTTTCTCAAAAACAAAGGTTTGGCTGATTTTTGATTGCTTTGTTTTGTTTTGAGGATTTGCTAATTTTGAAATATCTGAAGGTTCCTATTTGGGGTTGGCACGAGGCCTCCTGTGGGCAGCTCCATTTGCTGGCAGATGACCTGGCTAGAACAGGGGTTGCAAACACACTAATTCCTTTCTGCCCAGAAATTTATATCCTGTTTTTTGTCTCCCTGACAGCTGTCAGAGATGATTTGGGAGGTAACTGAGGAGGCTATTGGTGGATCTTTTCTTTAGTGTTAGCCATCATTTCTACTATAGTTCTTATGCTTAAAATGCTCTTGTCCTGCAGTAGACTAATTGGATTGTGTGAAACATCTGAAGATGATAAAGTTAAGTTACTAGATACATAGGAATTTGTTTTCTCATATTCCTCCCAAATTTCTTTTTCTTATTTTTAAGCAATGTACCAGAATACATACAGATACACCCCAAAATGAGGTTTGGTGCTCAGAACAGTTCTTCTAGTAAGTCTGTCATGGTTCGGACCATTTTGGGAACTTTTCTTTTAGAACTGGCTGATAGAAAAGTCAAAATTCTTATAAGAAAACTGTCTTATTATCTTTTAATTGCACCTTATTATGGATTAAAAACACCAGCTGAATTAAATCAGCATGCTGCTGAGCATAGATGGAAAGTTGCCAGCATAAATAGACATGTGGAGAAGAGCTAGGCATTGTGGGTCTCTCTAAGTGTTGCTATTTGAGCCGTTGGTTCTCCTGGAGGAACGCCTCATGACTGGCTTCCCCAGTGTGAGTTCAACCATTGTCATTGGAGGAGCTCAGGACCTTGTTGGTGAGAGTGGCTGTGGTTCACTTTGAAGGAGCTCTGGTATTTACATCAAGTATCACTTCCTGGCTCTGAAGGGGAAAACGTGTGCTGTTTAATCTCCAGAAGAAACTCATCATGCTGGCTCTCTGGCATGTACTCAACAGTTCTTATCTTCGGAGGAGCTCAGGACCTCGAGTCGCTGAGGATGGCTGTGATGCTTTTCAGGGCAGCCCTGGTCTTTGTTTTGTGCTTGACTTCTCGGCTCCAGTGTAAAACTCTCAACCGACCAGCACAGCTCCTTCACCCCGCTGGCGTAGACTTTCTAGCTTCCACTGCTGACCTTTAGGCCTTCCCAGCACAGATCCGTAAAACAGACTGGTGTGAGTCCTTCCTGTGGGCTCCAGACTTCCAGTTGGACTCGTGGGAGGCATTGTTATGGGCTCCAGGTTTTCATCTGGACTCATGTGGGACACTGCTGTGGGATCCAGGACCTTGGCTGAATATTCTGAGTCTTTAATGTTGTGGACAGATTTCCTGCACTTTCTTGTGTTTAACTCTGGGTGAGCATCATAAAATATTATTATAAATTCTGTGTCCTGATTCTAATTGTTCTCCTCACAATCCCTGACTACAACACACCTCGTCTTGACTAAAAATCCACTGGATTACCTTATTTACCAGATTTGGAATCACTAAATTAGTCACAGTATATCCATGCAAGGTGGCATGGCCGTGAACATTCCAAAAATGGTGAGCATTTGACAGTTTTATTAGAACTGTTCTGTACATGAGTCCTTGGTTTGGAGTGTGTATGTGTTCTGCTGTGCTGTTTAAAGCATGAAACAAAGAGCTTTGGAAACAGGACAGGCTCTCACTGGGGAGAGCTAATTGTACCACTTATACTATTCAACTTGCAGGAATCATAAATCCAGTTTTAAAATAAAGGTAAATTAGGGATTTTACAAAAATATTGTAAAAATACGAGTGGGTCCAAAAAGTAAACAAGCAGTTTTTACTACGTGGAGATATAGAATGTAAATCTGTCACTAAACCAGCTATATCTGCATTTTCTGTTTTTGCTTTCTATGTATTTTATATAGAATGCCATTTCGTAAAGTAATAGAAGTTTTTGAAAATGAAATGAGTAATTGTATATTTACTGACTCTGCTGGATCAGCTAAGGGTGATTCTTTTAAGCCACAGAAAATGTCTCACTGGTGAAATCCATTTTCCCAGGTTCTTTTTTTCCTTCCTAATCTCATCCTTGTGTAAATGGTCATAACATGTTCCATACAAGAAAATTCTGAAGCTGAAACCCAGCCTGGCTCCTTTAAAAAAATTCTTTAAAATATAATTTATCTCCTCCTCGACGAAGTGGATATTAAATCTGATAATATTTTTGCCAGATAGAAACAGCATCTGTCATGTCCTATGACCTGAGGTTATGGAGATAAGGAATTTACAGGAAGAGAATCCATCTTTCTGTCCTGCAGTTCCTGGTGTGGTCACAGGATAGTGATAATGTCTCATTCTCCATTTTCAGATAACAATCAACAGAGATAGCGGTGAGGACGTGAGCTCCCCCAAGCACGGGAAGGAAGACCCAGACAATATGCCCCACGTGGGCGGCAATACTTGGGCTGGTGGAACAGGTCGGTAGCTTGGGCATTCTCTTTGTTGGGCTTCCTGAGCTGTCTGAGTCCATCGGGCCAGTTTGTCACCTCTAAGCGGACTGCAGGGCTAGCTTGCCTTCTCAGCCTCTGCCATGATTTAGCAGGATGTGTTATTGTTCACAGCTCTTCCATGACATCGACAAGAATCTGGATTTCCACAAACTCAGACCTATAATCTAAGACATTCTCCCCCTCTCAGATGTTGTATCAGGTGGACAGGGGATGATACTAACTGCTTCACAGGGTCACAGTGAGGAATAGATGGGATTATGATTGAAAAGCACTGAGCACGATGGCTGACCTAAAGAACATATTTGTTAAAATGTTAATCCCTAGTGTTGAATTGTATGCTTTTGGGATTGTGCCAGAAATCTACAAATTCTTTCTGGAGCAGCTGACTCTGAAAAGAAATAGTACTAGTCTTCCGCATCTCAGATGTGAGTATATTGAGGATGCCAGATTTTGAGATAAGAGGGTTGGTTGCAGTTTGCACGGATGGCCGTGGTCCACTCCTTCCTCTTGGCTGCCGGACTGGACCATTGTTCCTGTGTCTGCCGTCTTCCTTTTTCCTCCCGGCAGCTGGAACAGACGCATCTGCTGGGCCACAGCAATGGGCCCAGACTGTGTGCACTGTCTGAGCTTATCTCAGCTGTGAGGAGTGCTGGCACGGGCTCTGGACTTCACCTTCCTGTAGGACGGTCTGCACCTCTTGGCCTTGACAGCAGCAGGAAATGCGTTTCTGTGCTGAGACAATGTGCTATCAAGTAGGTCTGCAGACTTCTTGCCTACTGTGTTTACCCATCAAGCATCAGCTTGAAAGAAAGGCTATTTTTAGAAACATCTTTTGATCTGAAGTGAGTGTCAAGCCAAGATTTAATCCATATGGAATGCACTGTAGAACCAGCTGGCCAGATGGAGGCTTCCCGTAGTGGATGGCTCTGGGATGAAATTCTTGTTTTGCAACTTGAATCCACAGGCTCCCGTATCTGTCCAGCCTGAAGAGCCTGCATTTGTTTCCTGTAGCCTTTCATTTTTCAACTGATCAAGCCTCCTTGACTTCAACTGGTGTTTTCTGTCTGCCATTTTCCTCCCTCAGAATTTTCCACATTAAACTGATTCCTTTTCAATCATCGAAGCCCAGCCTTTGCTCATCTCCCACTTTAACTAATCAACTGATTTGGACAAAGCAAATCCTCTCTATCCAGTGTTCCCGTCACTTCTTTTAATACTACCAGCCTGACTTTATTGTGTTAACTTTCATTTTTAACATAAATGCTTTATGTGATATTGCATGACATATACTTATAACCGTGTAAAGTTTTTTAATTGAAAGACTGATCTAAGGCTGGTGATATTTCCCTGTTGTATAGTATTCAAAGCTTAAAACTCGGGGCTGGGGATTTAGCTCAGCGGCATAAGCGCCTGCCTTGCAAGCAGGCAGTCGTGAGTTTGATCCCCGGTATCGATAAAAAGGAAAAAGACAAAAAAAAAAAGAAAAAAAAGTCAAAGCTAGTGGATCTCAAACCTTGGGTAAGCCAGTGATATAAGGTCATGAATAGGTCAATTAACCTGCTGTAGCTCAGTTGTATTAGTTACAAAACAAAGGAAATTTAATCTATAGCTTAATTATCTTTTGGTATCTTAAAGGAAAATAAGGTAGCATATGTGGTGGAAGAGAATTGCTCATTTATTTAACAAATATATATGTGTGGGGGGTATAATAACATATATAATAACATTCAAACCACTCATGGGGCAGAGGTACAAAGATATATAAAATATGATCTCATCTATCATGTATTTGGTGGGGAAAAAAAGACATATATTACAGGACAACAAACAGTACACAATACTGATCTCTGTGTGGAAGACGCATCAGCTGAGATGTCAGAATTTGGAGAGAACCTTGAAATATAGGTAGGATTTAGATTGATGGGGAAAAGGGAAAATCATCCTAAAGAGAACACCTTTATATTCATAAAGATAATTTGAATTTTTGTTGATGCTGTTTTTTACTGTTGTTTTTGAGACAAGGTCTTGCTGTGTAGCCCAGGCTGGCCTAGAACTCCTGCCTCAGCCTCCCAAGTGCTGTGATTGCAGACATGCTTCACCGTGCCTGACCTGATGATCTGAATTTTTAGCTTCTAGTTAAGTGCAATTAACATACCTCAAAGGACAGTTCTAAAGCCATTGTGTGACTTTGTTTTGTGGTCAGGCTCAGACTTACCAACTGGAATCTCATGTTTCCCTTTCAGGAGGAAGAGACACTGCAGGATTAGGGGGCAAAGGAGGTCCTTACCGACTGGATGCAGGCCACACAGTCTACCAGGTCTCTGACGCTGAGAAGGATGCAGTTCCCGAGGAGGTCAAGAGGGCTGCAAGAGAGATGGGCCAGAGAGCATTTCAACAGAGGTGGGTGTTGTTCTCTTTGCATCTTGGACACTTAGTGACTAGTGTTTATGCACACAAGTGCCACATGAACACCCACACAGACACACAGACACACTGTTGAGTGCTAGAGTTACAGAAGCGATGCCCTCTAGCAGTGCAGGGAAGGGTCAGTGCCTAGCCAGGGTTTGGAAATGAGGAGAGCTAAGTTGCTAAGAAAGAAAAAGTGAATGAGCAGGAGGCATCAAGGAGGGATGAGCAGCGACAGTAGCAGGGAGAAGAAAAAGGGCACCATCTGGGGAGAGGAGCAATCCAGTGGGCGAGAACAGCCTTCAAATCCAGGCCCTTTTGCCTGTGGTCCTCAGATGTTCTCACAGCTGTACTGGGTCACTTCGGCCCCATCTTTAAAATGACAAGAATCCACAGGATGCTTTTAGCAGACATCTCCATGTGTTTTTCATCTAAAAGTGTAAAATACCAAAGAGCCAGCAATATCTCCTTTCAGACCGAGAGACTTGGTGATGGCTTGCAAGGAGATTTACATTTCTGTGCTCCATGAAAGGAGCTGGGTGTAGTGGAAAAAGCACGCTCAAGTACACTGAGTTATGAAATTCTCCCACGTAGAACATCTGGTGTTACATTACACGCTGTACTTTCACATCCTGCAAGTAAACAGGACCGAACAATAGAGACAAATATGCAAGCTTTGCCTTCCATACCGTCAGGAAAGCCTGCGAGCCTCGGGACCCTCATTGGCGCAGCACGTAAATAACATGCTCAACATCAGGGGCAAGAGAGCCGCCCTCTGCCCTGTGGCTGCCTTCGTGGAGACCTAAGACGTTATCCCAAATTTGCTCTTGTAGAGTAAGGGACTTCCCTCTCCTTTTCTCTCTGGAAGGTGATGAGAATATAACTATTTATTTCTTAAAAAAGAAAGAAAGAAAGAAAAAAAAATGGGAGGAAAATTATACTATACTGAAAAGTCTTGTTAGAATTAAAACACTGGTGGACACATCACATGAATAATAAAGCATATATGTAGGAAAAGAATCAAACAACTAAATATGCATTATGATTTGTTATTGCTGCCATGCGTAAGCCATTTGAGTGTGTTCCTAAGTGCACCATTGGACATACAAGTAATGATGGTACCTGTTAGTGGCTGTCCCTAAGTATCCATGAGAAATTGGAACCCAGCTCCAAAGGATGCTAAAATTTGCAAATCTTCAAATCCTTTATATAAAATGGCTTTATACTCACATGTAACCTATACATATCCTCCTCCCTTGTACTCTTTTAGTGTTTTGGTTTGTGTTTTTGCTTTTGTTCATTTACTTGTTTTGGGTACTGGAGGTCAAACTTGGGCCTTGTGCATGCTGTACAAGTGCTGTACAGCTTAGTTATGTCCCCCGTCCTTGCACACACACCCTCCCATCTCAAAATTACTTCTAGTAGCTAGCACCGTACAAATGCTTTTAAATGGTTGATGTACTATATTGTTTAGTGAACAATGACAGGAAAATGATCTTCACATGTACTATAAAGATGCAATTTTATTTTTGAATATTTTGATCCAGATTGGTTGAATCTGCAGATGTAAAATCCATGACTATGGAGGGCTGACCGTGTGGTGTTATCCTCTCACTGGATTGACCGGTCCTAGCCATCAGGCAGAACATGTGTTCTGCTACCTGAAAGAATCTCATGGTACTAACGGATTCTTCACATCGTCAGCATAGAATGGAGTTAGCATTCACTTGTATCTGGTTTTAAACCAAATATTTGTTTCTATATAATAAGAATTGATCGGTTCAGGCAGACTAACAGAGGGGAGAAAGCATCGGACATGTGTAAAATGTCACAGAAATGTTATACCAACAAAAAGTGAATGTCACGGTGAGGTTCTCATATACACTTAGAAAAGCATTTGGAGTAGACAGCCTTGGAAACCGTGTCTGCTACCATTTGCGAAACAAATCAACCTTACACAATGAAAATCAGCTTATATATGTTTTCCTCTTAAGAGATTCAGAATTATAGTATTTAAATCTGACCTATAAGAGAAGTAAAATGAGAACTAAAATTCCCAGACTCTTACATAACAATAAATATACCCTGTAAAAATACACTGTGCCAACAAAGTATAGCTCATCCACCTAGATTACTAGGATGGGAAGCAGCTGTGCCCCGCAGTTTTGATCAGAGGTTAAAAAAAAAAAAGAAAAAGCAGAAAAAAATATTTTCAGCTGGTCTGTGAGTGAGACTATTAATGATGGGAAGCTTGTCAAGTCTAGAGGCTCACATTCCTCTTTTCCCTGCTTCAATCTTCATCGTTCAGAATTTGTTATCCACGCTGAGCATAGGTAGGTGATCTTTCTGAAAGCTGACACAATCTGGAATATGATTTCCAGATTTCTATATAATTAAAACAGTATGTGACATGCTTTGGGTTGCAACATGATCTCACCAAAAGTAGCCGAATAACTAGAGCAGGCTCCGACCTCTCAATAAAGACCTTTCTGTTCAAGGTGACTTATCAACTGCTGTGTGTATATGTGAATGTGTATGCGGCATATGTGTGTGTATGTATGCATATGTGTATATGCATATGTATATATGTGGGTACACATATGAATAGGTGTGCGAGGTGTGATCAAAATATATGGTGAATGTTTACATTTTTTAAAAACTTCATTACAATAAAAGACACATTGCCATTAATCCCCCTCAGAATATTCTTCATTAATTTAAACACACTTTTCCAATCATTCTTGCCCCTTACTGAAGTAGCTTTGGAAATTCTCTTTTATGAGCATCTTTATGAGATGTGATAAAAAATACAGTGAATGATACTGCCAAGTTCCATCTAACATTCATAAAAATATAATGGTGTGTTCTTATCCACCTTATTCACCAGATCTTGCTCTTCCCCAAAATCAAAATGATCATGAAAAGTAAATATTTTAAATAAATTCAAGATATCAAGGCAGCCCTGGCTGCACAACTAAAGACACTCATGAAACAAGACTTCCAGGACTGCTTCAGAAAGTCACAGGAATGATGGAATAAGCATATTTAACATGAGAGGGAGTATTTTGATAGTGATTAATGGCAATGTGTATTTCACTATAATAATTTTTTTAAAAATTTAAACATTTACCATATTAATCACACCTCATATATTATGTATGTCTTTGTGAGTATATTCCCTTCTATATTTTATCTCCACATAATCTCACTCTCAACAAGGTCAAGCAGCAAAGTCTGCATTTTTTCCCATCAGTACTATTCTTTCATTTCTGGACAAATGCATCGACTTCTTACACATGAAAAAAACAGGTTCCATGTCCTACTGTCATGTGTCTAGATGTCCCCCCAAAACCACATGTGATCATAGGGGGGCTTTTTCAGAGGTGACTAGATCTAGAGTGTGTGACATTGGGATTGATTCACAGTACAATACTGAAATCAACAGTGCTAGGATTGATGGTGCGGGTGCTACGGGTTCTAAGTACCCTGATAAGATAGAAGGCATAGAAGGAGTTGTGGTCATTCCTTGCTTGCTTTTGTTACCTTCTGCCCACCATGAACTGTCTCTTTTCTTCTGTGCCTGTCTGCCGCACCATGCTGGCTTGCGCTACCTGACTGAAACTTGTACAAACTATGAGCTAAATAAATCTGCCCCTTTAACTTTGGAATTACATACTAGGTATTTTGTTTCAGTATTAGGTTTTAGGTATTTTGTTTCAGTAAAGAGAGAAAAGTAACTAAGACACCCACCATGTTCTTTGTGCCCAGATTCTGTCAGCGGGGATTCTTGAGATATAACTTAATCTGATGAAAATCCATAGAGACCTTGCAGAGATTGACAAAAATAAATAGAAGAGGTATTTTTAATAGGTCAAATCCTTTACGCATATTTTTTTTTTTTGTTCTACAAAAGAGAGAGCTAATTAGGAAAGGGCACCTTCCATCTTGTCATATCACCTTGGGAAACAACTATTAAAATACTATAGGGCCTTGTCAGTATTTACCTTTAGATAATGTTTTCAAAGTGTTGCCCAGTGACATTTTTTAAGTGCCACTGTGTGCCAGGCCTTGTACTAAGAGTTGGAAATTCAAAGACAAAAATGTTGTTTTTCTTTTTGAAGAATAGAAAACATCCAAACACATCACAAATAATAAAGTCTGATTTAGTTATATATACACACACACAATTGTATGTGCTGGATCTCATTGCAAAACATATTTCTTTTGGGAAAAATGTTTGAGAAGCACTGTGATTAGAAATGATTCTATCTGTTAAACTAACAAAGCATACAGATTACATAGTTAACAACTGCAAAAGATACATGAAAAAGGGCCCATTTTACCCTAGAAATCAAGCAAGATTTCATGAGATACAGCTTTTGAACTGTTCTTGAAACCTGAGCTGAAACAGAACAGGTTGGTAGGGCAGGAATTGCCAGGCTGTCCCATCACTTAACACACGGCATCAATAAGTTGCACTCTGAGTGGATTCTTCCCAGTGCTGAGCCTGATGAAAAGAATAGAAACCACGCATGCTCCTTTGGCATTTGAGAAAAGTGATAGATAACAATTTTATCTAAAGTTTTGGCTACACATCTAAGTTCCCTCCCTCCAACATTACATAACTGTGTACAGATCCTTGCACGCGCACAAGCACACACACACACACACACACACATCAGTTTAGAAGACTGTGTTATGATTAGACTTTGGGAAGATGCTTTCATTATTCCCTAACCTAGCATCAGCCCCTTTTATATTTATAGATATGCATAGAAATGTGTAAACAAGTTAGTGTCGTTTGACTACACCACCATAAAGCCTAAGAGAGGTCACTCAGTGAAAGAGCTTTCCTGAGTCTTGCTAGGTACCCTGTAAGGCACCATCCGTTTAAAGATGAAAAGCTCAGGGGAATAGAGACAGCAGATGGCCATGATAACTTGGGCAAGAAATGATCTGATAGAGGGAGAAAGGAGCAGATGAGAAACCAAAGAATAGCACCGGGGATCAGAGACTCCTTCTTAGAAACAGTGACAGTTAATCGTAGTCTTGATGGGTGAGTGGGAGTTGGGAGGCAAAGAGGCAGGAGCGGGACGCTCCTGGGGAGTCGCCTTCAGGAGCCTTGAGACGTGGGCACTCGGCGTGTGCGGAGAATGCCGGCAGGTTGGTGGTGCGGCAGCTGTGTGCTAAGAAGGGAGAATTTCAAAGCCATAAGAACACCAAGCCACAACTACCCTATTAACAATACAACATCAGCAGCTTTAGAAAACTGTCATTCAGGTATGCAGTGTGACCAAGACATATGGTGACTTTTAAATTTAAACATTTGTTACAATTAAAAGCACATTGCCACTAACTCCCCTTACTTGGGATGCACTTACCTCATCATTCTGTTCTGTTCTTTTCCTCTTTTTCTTTTTTCTGGCTCTGTGAGACAGAGTCTCTCTATGTAGTTCTGACTGGCCCTGAATTTACAGTGGCCTGCCTCGCCTCCCAAATCCTGGGATCGCAGACATGTGCCACTGTCCCTGGCCATTTGCTCTTTTCTGAGGCAGCTCTGGAAGCCCTCTTTCGTGAGTGTCTTTACAAGGTGTGATCAGGGGTACAGTGAATGCTGTTGCCATCCAAAGGAGAGGAGCTGTTCCAGTGTGTCCTCACCCGCCTTGTTCACCAGATCTAGCACCGTGGGACTTCTGTCTCTTCCCAAAAGTCAAAATGAGCATGAAAGGAAAACATTTTTGAATGGGTTCAGGATACCAAGACAGCTACAACACAACTAAAGATACCGTAAAAGGCTTCCAGAACTACTTCTGAGGGTAGTGAGGGCAATGGGATGTTTTCAAAGTGAAGGGAAGTATTTTGAGGGGAATTAATAGTAATGTGTCTTTGACTGCAATAAATGTTTTAAATTTAAATATTCACCATATTTTAATTTTTTTTCTTTGCACCTTTATTTTTATCTTTTTTGGGGATACGCATTTAAAGTATGAGCATCCTGTAAATTTCTGAAAAGCCTCATAGAAAAGAAAAACAACTAATTTTTTGACAAAGCAATAACTTGGTTTAGAGGCAAGATGATCTCAAGCAGGATGTAAATTCTTCGTGGCTTGAGAGAAATTAGAAAAAATTTGTGTCCCTCTTACAAATCTCCATGTTTTAAGCTTGGAGCACTAAAATCTGTTCTCAGCAAGCAGATGTATTTAACGTGTAATTGTAACGTGTAATATATATGGCTGTGTTATCATCTAAGACAACTGTTTGAAACTAAGTGAAACTAAGTCAAATGGGAACTGACAGATAATAAGACTGCTTGCAGAAAAACTTATTTTTTTCTTGTGACACTAGAGAGTCACATGCATTGACCATATTTTTAAATCACACCTTATGCATAATATCACATTAACTTACTTTCTTTGGGCCTGAATGACTTCAATCATAAAAAAAAACCACTGGAAGTCTCCTAGGAATCTGTCACATGAACCTGTGAGCTGCTAACATCGTGTCTCCAAGGCACAACAGTGACACAGGGGAGTGATTCACCCTGGCTTGTGAAAGCCAGTTCTGCACATTCTTTCCTAATTTATACGTCAGTGATCTCAGCTTGAAATTGATCACCAAGGAAATTTTTAGACAACAGAAATAAGCAAATATAAACCATAAATCAGGTCTCCCTTGCCCCCTTATGTTGTGGAGAGTGGGTTCATCATTCACCAGCACGGAACATTAACCTCTTGTGAATTTGGAAGCATCCCTGGAGACCTTGCGACTTGTCTTTTCTCCCTGGAGTCATTCTGAGTTGCCGAGGAGTTTGTTGCAGCTCTCAGAGTAGACGAGTTAAGGTGAAAGACTCACGTGGCCATGATGTAAGATGCTGTCTTGTCTTTCACACTCTGGTTTCAGGCTAAAGGAGATTCAGATGAGCGAATACGATGCTGCCACCTATGAAAGGTTTTCAGGTGCTGTCCGACGACAGGTGTCCTCCCTCCGAGTCATCCTGGATAACCTTCAGGTAATTGCGCATCTCGGGGACGAGAATAATAATCTGAGCTTAAACCCAGACCCATCCCACAACAGTTGAAGCAGTTTATCTGCCTTCCAATCAGTCAATCAGATGAAAATTAAGCAGTGCCAAAGATCTGAATAAATCGGTGGACTTGCCCCTTGGATTCCTGAGTAACTAAGTTCTCCAAGGAAAACATACCTGCCTTCACGTTCTCTCACATCCGGGAAGCAGTATTTCTGCCCCGCAGATACCCAACTTCCTGACTTCACTCAGGGAAGATCTGTGAGCATCCCCTCCCTACTGGAAATGTACAAGTGGAATTTCTCTCCGCAAATCCTATTGCTGTCCCAGAAGCAGAGGAGCACTGTTGATCACCCAGGGTGCCCTCTGGGCCTCCTCTCTCCTCCTCCCTCCCCTTGGCCCACCTTTGTCTGGCTTTTAGCAGTCTGACACTGCTATTGTTCCTAAAAATATGGGTGAAGGCGCTTCAGTATTTCCTAAGCAGAGACCTCACTTCTGTCAGTTTGCCCAAATAGTTCAGGAAGGGCTAGATAGTTCCTAAAAGTGGACATGAAGAAATTGATTTTGTCTGAAGAAATCAAAACCACATTTCAGGGGAGGAGGGGAAGAGTTAGGAGCCACACTATGACATATTTCTTACCTCCGCTTGGTAATCTTGTATTTCTTTTTTCTGAAGTGTTTAAAGTTGGTTACCTTCAGTTTTACCCTTTCTCTCTTTAGTTCTTATTTGAAATTGTTTTTTTGAGGAACATTCTACTGTTTTTTGCCAATAAATTGGGAGTTAGAAGTTCTATGATACTGTTTTAATCCATTGCTCTACCCAGAACTCTAGGAAAACCTCCCTTCTGAAAAGATCTAAACTGTGTTAGGAGATGAGGAAAGGTTCTGCCATTTCTAAGAAGAAAGATCTTCAAGATAATTAACTAGATGCTTAATTCCAAGATCTGCGGAATGGAAGAATTAAGCCTTTTGCTTTAAAATCTAAACATAGTTATGTAGGCTAAAATAACGTAAGATTTTTATATAAACTAGGTAAACAACATGACATTGAACAATGGAATTTTCTCCTCACTCATTTAACAAATGCTCACTCATTTAACAAATGCTCATTGCTCTGGGCTGAGACAACTGAAAAACTATCAGGCAGGCTCTTAGCGGCAGAGAAGGGCAGTGGTCACTGAGGGTCAAAACAGGGGCTCAGAGGGGGCAGTAATGCCAGGTGGGAGTTGTACTAAGATAAGACTGAAAAATAGTATAATTTAATCATTTATTTACTTAAAGTCTTAATGCATACCAACCAGCCTACCTATATACATATATACAAATATATGTATATGTCCCTGCCTTTAAATAAAGAACTCAAAGAAGACAATTTCCCTATGTTTCATAAGAAGTTTGCGTGAGATCTTATGGGATGGATGAGAAAAGTCTTCATGGAGAATGTAGCGTTTGCATTTATTCTTAGGAAGTGCTGGGGAATTTCCCAGGTGATTGGGGAGCCTGCGTGGGAAACAGCAAGTGGAGGTGCACAGAGGTCAGGAGGAGCACAGGAGAGCAAGGGCTTGACTGAGAAGAGAGTGAGAGGGTGGGGAGGAAGGAGCCTGGCAGAACCTGCAACCACGGAGACCGCCGAGGATTCTCAGTACTAAGACGGGATACAAAATATACTTAATTAACCAAACTAACTTGTATCAGTTAATGTTTAGATGGGGAACCATGCTGTCGTTACTTTTAGAAACACCGTTTAAAGTAAATGGCAGTATGTTTAAAGATCACCTAAAGGCGAGAAGTCAGATCCACTACTGTGTTTTCTCACACAGTCAGACAGCACCAGCCTGGATTAGAACTGGGCTTGGCATTAAGGGGAGACACCTGCCTTTTAAATGCCAGCCACAGGACCAGATTTGCTTTCAGCTTTCAAAAAGAAATGAAAGAAAGGTGGGAAAGAGGCTCAGGTGGAAGCAGCAATAAGGTAACACTGAAGGAAATCAAGAAAATGAAACGTATTTTAAAGGGGTTGGACTTGTAAATTATTCAGTATCCTCAAAAAAGTTAACTATGTCAGAGAAATTTTATTCTCTTCTTCCTTTATATTTAAAATAGAGAAAATAGGCTTAAATCAGATCAAAAATGTTAAAACATGATCTTTACAAATAATACTAGCATTATAACAACAGCAAGCATTCACCAAGCATTCTGCCAGTGCTTGACTTTGCAGCAGCAGCATCTAGATTTCCTGATCATCGTCATCATCGTCGTCATCATCGTCGTCATCGTCATTATCCTAATCATCACTTAGAGGCTAACAGGGCCAGCTCTGGAGCCAGACAGCCTGGGCTGTATAGAATGGGAACGATGCATAACAGGACAGTGATAAAGATGGATTCAGATGATGCGAACACTCTCTCCCAGAGAAATACCTTCATCATTACTTTCTCTGTACTTAATGTCAGCCTTGACTACAAGCCTGATAATCAAGTGCTTTTCATTGTCATCGTGCTATTTAATCACTGTAATAATAATGAATAACTTTACAAGTGTTATTTTCTGTATTTTATAGTTGGAAAATTAAGATAGTTATCTAAATACATTATTTTCATAATCCTATGAAATATAGATATTTTGTCCCCACTTTATAAATAGGGAAACCAATGATTAGAAAAATAGCATAACTTTTCCTAAATTATATGGCCAGAGAAGCAGGCGTCTGAGCCAAAAGCTCAGGTTCCTCTTATGTGTTGTAATTGTTACCCTCTTCAACTTCCACAGTTGCATAAACAGTATATATTTACCTATTATGTAGAAAATATCTTGCATTATTATCCAAATGCTAATACATTTTCAAATGCTTCTCTTAATTGAATTTTTATTTTAATCTATAGAGGAATTATTCTCAGGTCGGACTTCAAGTCCTCAATTTAGGAAGGTAGGGTCACTTAAAAACACAGCTGCTGGCCCAAAGGACAGGGTTTTCTAAGAATATGAAACTTCAGGTTATAACTTGAACAAGAAGGTTTTGATTTGTCCCGTTCTTGCCATGTTTGCTCTGCTTGACTAAAACCTTCCAGCATCTTTGAGATTGCTGTGTAATCCCAATAACATGAGTATTTTCTTGGTGAGCAACACAAAGTCTGACCAGAAACTAGCAAATTAGCATTTGTGATGACTTTCTAAGCCAGGTGGCTGGGTTGAGATTTAAGGAGCAGGAAATGCCTCTGCCACCTTTGTTGATATAAGCTTCAACACATGCTTGTGCTGTAGTGTGTGTGTGTCACTGTTCTCCAGTTAGATAGCTACCGTGCCTTTTTTTGGCCTCTTAACTATTCCATATTTACGTATATCATGAAGTCTTAGCTATTGAAACTGTTTTGAACTTATACCAAGAATTTTCTCATTAAAATAATAGAGTCAAATATACTTGGTTCAAAATCTTGATCTCTGTAGCATTCCCTAATAAAAGAAAGCACGCATTCCCACAAAAGGCCACTGATTTTAATCATAGTGCCAATGTCTTTCTAATCTATAATCAGTAATTTCCTTCTCAGTCTAAACTAAATTAGCTGTTCTCTGCTTGGTTTGGCTAGCTCGGTATCTCTTCTTATCAACCAATAATCATTTCTTTTATTCCTCCAGTATTTCAGAATGAACTTTTGTTGAGATAAATAGGGTCTTGAACACTGACCATGTGGCATGCCCTATCCTTGGCATTTATGGAACAAACACTGATAAGCTATTGTCCCTGGACTAAGAAAGTTTTAGTCTCAAGGGCAGAGAAGACAGACACCAATATAGATTGTTTCAGTTTAATACCATAAGTGGCTAGAGGGAAGGAAACATAAAATAGAGCTAAAGCCCAGAGGAAAGACAGATGAGCCAGTTCTGACCAGAGAGAGGCATCTCAGCAGAACATACAGCAGAACGCACCACAGCTGTGAGCTGGGGCAGGAGGGACACTGCCCAGTGTGAACTACAGATGAGCACAGGAAGCTGAAGGAGGTCCGTGCAGAGTGAGGACCTTAGGTTCCTCCTGAGTACTTTCCTCATGTGGAGACAGAAAGCATTTTATCATTTATTTTGCTTAGTCTGTAAAAACCATTTCATTCAGTGACATTTTTGTAGATCTGTTTTGCCTTCAATGACTAAGCTTCTAGGGGAAAGGATAGACGTGTGGTTGTATCAGAAGACATAATATGGTAAATGACACAGAGGTACACAAAGTGCTAGGAGCACGTAGACAAATGTGTGAGTCATCTCTGACCTGGACAGTTGGAGAGAAACTCACAGGAAGTGTCACTGGAGCTGTCACAGGAAGGACGGACTTGGTCTCCACTGGTAACTCTCTCCTAAGGACAATGGAACATGGACAGCATTGCCAGCCCTTCTCAAAACTTCTATGGGAAGGAGCCAGCCTTTTAAATCCAGTCTGGAATAATACTTTTGTAATATACACTAGAAATGAATTACTGAAAAGAATCGCATAGAGAATGTAAGCCCAATTGTTTTATAAATATTACATTTTTTTTTTATTGGTACTGGGGATCGAACTCACCACTGCATGCTTCCAAGGCAGGCGCTTATGCCGCTGAGCTAAATCCCCAGCCCATAAATATTACATTTAACAAATATACAATGTCTTTGTCAATTGCATACATGTTTCTAAATACTGACTGTTGATTTCTGTTACTTATTGCATCACCGATTGGTTGCAAGTGTTTAGGGACTAAAGACAGTTTGTGAAGCAATAGTCTAGATAGAAAAAACCTCAGACGAAAAAATGAATGTTTGCATGCCAGGCAGTTTGGAGACTTGCGGAGTCCAGGGTGACAGGAGTTCCTAACTTGAGGATGGGCTTGTGGCAGTCAGTAGTGGGAGAGAAAACCAAAAACAACGTGAATCCCAAAAGGCCCGGGACACCGTGCTGAGGAGGCGGGCTGTAACCTGTAACCACTGAGCCACAAGAGTACTTGAGAAAAAGGGGTGTCTCC